GGCTTTTTCCAGTCTTGACATAGTCCTAACTGAATTCCCCACACATGCATAACTTAATCAGAATGAAACCCCACAGTAGTACTAAAGCACAGAATAGTACGTAAACTCAGAACAGGATGTGAAGTTTGAGATCTGATGATGATGGCTTCACTGATTTTTCTTTGCATAAATTGTAAGCATAAGTCCTCCAGAGGGGTTGCCCATCCTCTTGGACGTTTTCTTCAGAGAGTATGATACTGCTTGATTTTGGGGACTATCAATATGAGCAATGTGAAAGTAGTAAGCTTCTTGCAAGCAAGTTGCTAATCCCAGTTGATAGACTTCTTCATTTTAACCCACAAACAATTTGCTTAAGAGGTTTATAAATGCAGGTATCATGACATCATGTCACAGGAATCAAGTGGCTGAGGCCACCTTGACTAGATTTGACTGCTTGACTCAAGGGCCTCTCACATTTTCACACTGACATAGATGGTTAGGGTAAAGGGAGGCTGCAAAGGGGTATGAAGTGGTGTGTATAGAGTGACCTTAAATTGGAGCTGGGCAAATGCTCAGGGAGTGCATCAGATTTCTTTCTTATGATTATCCATCAGGAAATTATGCCCTGCTTTACATCAGAACTTCCTTCAAAACTAATTAATATGCTGTGCAGACACTTATGCTTTCTGGTAGTTCTTCACTTCTTGAATAACCCAAAGTTCCTGGTGAAGAAGAGTCCACAGGAAGAGACTCCTGATCATGCAGCATATTCACTTACTGAGAAGGCTGCCATAAAATGGCATTAGAGACAATGAAGTCTGAACTGCTGCAGCTAAAACTGCAGCATTCTTTGTTTCCAGAGAAGCTGCTTTGTGAGTAGACCAAGCCATGTCTCTTTGTTCCAACAGCTGCTCATTAAAAGTCCATAGGGAACTGGCAGAGCAGGGAGAGAACTAAGTCTTGAACAAGTTAAATATGCTCAACAGTTTGCAGTAGGGAACAAGGGAACTTCAGAGCTAAGTGGCAATGAGAGAGTAACAAAGAAAGCCTCTTGCAGCTTACAAGTGATGTGGGCAGGAAGTTCAGAAGACTCAGAAGAGATGTGTGGATTCAGGGAGAGGCCACAGCAGCACACAATGAGGCTGCAATTGCACTGCAAAGTGAGTTTTTGTGCTGCATTTCTGTAGTCCAGGGATTTTTCAAGATGCATGGCCAAATGGCAGAGTGGCAGTCACAGGTCCAGACATGTCCCTAACCATCAGCAGTCCGCCTGCATGTAGCTCTTAAAGACTATTACTAGTTATCATGGGGAGACCCAAGACATCATCATATTAAATGCAAATTTGACAGAAAAAAATATTTCCTAAACAGATGTAGATGGAAGATTTCTGAATGGATGTTCTCTTTGCTGAGAAAACACAGGTAAAGGAAAAGAAAATAAAAAAAATCTGAAAATGAAGTGTGGTTTCAGCAGTCCTTCTCAGCATGTGGAACCTGTCCTACAAGTCCTGGCAGTTGGATACGTGACTGTTTTTTCACAATATGATTCTGAGGAAGCTGATCCAGGAAGGAGGGTCAATCTTACACCTCCTTTCCTTTCTCTCTGCAGAATTGTGACTCCAGTCAGCAGCACACATGACTACATTTACCCTCAGTCTATAAGACCAGATGGCTGGCATTATCCTCCCAGCCCATGGCCCTGCCACAGGGACAACCTCTGCATGGATACTAATCAGTATTAGCAAACCCACAGCCAGCTGAGGAAATGAGGGTGCCTGAACACAGCTCCCCAGCACAGGGCCTACAACCCTCAAGGCCTGCCAGCCATGTCTGTGTAAACACTCATTAACTCAGACATCACCACTCAGCTATAAAGCTCTGTCTCTGGTTTTGCATGCTGAAACAGAACAATGCAAGCCAAAAACCCAGCAACTAACACTGGCAGGTGAGAGAGATGTCATCAAAAGATTTCAGAGCCCCTTTTTCAGGAAGCAAAGCACCCAGTACGTGAGGAGGGGGATGCTTTGGCACAGCACAGGGATGTGACCTGCCTGGCATTACCCAGGAGGCTCAGAACCACCATCTCCTTAACTGTCCACAAGGGTTTATGCCTGTAAGCAGAAGAGCCTAAAGGGCTGTTGGGAGCAGAGCTGGGAATTCCCTCTTTCATGTTAAAAAGCATCCTTCACCCCAAGCCCTCTCTGTGTTGAAACGACGTTGTGGTACCTACAGCATCACCTTTCAGATGGGCTACAGCCAACAGAGAGATTGAGAATTTGCACACAAAATCCTTGGCATCTTTATTTTTGTGGCTGGAATGAAACCCCAGTTCCAGTGCTTCATTATGTTGAGCAAAATTTCTACATCTTTTATTTTCATTCTTTGAATAATTTTTCCAGTTTACTGTCTTTAACTATCACAGGAGTATGCTATAATAGGTGCTAAATAGTTTTGCTGTTGTTATAATTACTCATTTGTAGCTCATGAGTCTGAAGAAAAGAGCAATACAAATACTAAAGAGATGCATCTCATAATTGATTTTTGAGAACAAATATAATTTTTGTTTTCGGGCCTATATGATGACACTTATCTACACAGGCTTGTGAGCCAGTCATCATGTAGTCATCATGTTCTGTGCACTGTAAGGATGCATCCTGTAGTTCTGTGTGGAAGGGACTGGGACTTCCCAATGGGGTAATTTTTGGTTTGTTTAGTTGTAATGGGAACTACAGGAAGAAGAAGAGGAAAAAAATCACTTAGGCTGGGAAGTAAAGAAAGCATTCAGAGAATAGAAACTTGCAGTTCTGTCTCTACAGATTTCAAGCAGACTTCTTCCAAAAGGTCAGAAGTATCCCAAGATAAGCTACGCTACTTCTCACCCAGCTCCAAATTTTCAAAATGACTGTACTTACCAGAATAGATGGGGCTACCTATTGCAAGGCAGCCACACATATTCCTCATGTTGCTGATGGAGGCTTATTGAATGGCTGGGACTTTTGCTTACTGTCATACCACCAGCTAATTTTGTAAGAATTTCACCTCCCATTTTCTGTATTCCTGTGCTAGAGACCATCCAGGACATTCTGCTCCTGGTCTTGCTGTCCAGCTCCTCTGGGTGCGCATTTGTAATGCTTTAGAGAGGGTTGATAAACACAGGCATATGTGAAGAGCAACAGCAACAAAAAATCCTGCTTGCCTATGAAGGGCTTATTTAAACTGACGTAAATCTCAAGAAAATGCTGCTCCCGGGAGCAGAAGTGTCAGAACCAGCCATTCAGGCTTTTGCTTTACAATCTAGACAGGTTATGGGGTAATGAATGAGTGCTCTAAATCCACCAAGAAAGCTCTTGCAGGAAAACTTAACCCTAAACTCCACTCCTATAAAGATACCCACTAAAAGCATATTGAAAACAAAATTAAAAATACATACCTAGTTTTTCTGTAAGATCTCTTACTTTACTTGTGTTAGGAAGGCTGGACAAGGAAGGGGCAGTGAGGGATTCACTGATGTGTAGCAGTAAAATCAAGGAAGAATGGCTTTGATCTTATAGCTTAGAGACAAGACAGACATTTTACCTTTCAAAGTACATAGTAAGCAGTGACTTTATTTCACTGCTGCAGGTAAAGGATTTTGTTTATCTTTTCCTAGTAATCCCACAGCTTTCTCCTGAGTTTCCTTCGTTAAAGTTCCTATTTGTTATTTTAGTAATTTGATATTTGATTCCAATTTAGTAGTGTGACTAACATTGATTTGCTCAGTGTACTGCTTGGAAATTCATTCTCTGTTTCTACCAATTAAATTCCTTCCTGTTTGTTTTAATTTGCTAACATTTGCAGAAAGGACTCTACATATAATTAATAAGGATGGAACCAATAGAGAATTGGTGTTCCTAAGAGCCTAAGTAAGTCCCTTGTAAATCAGTTGCTGGTTCTCAGATTCACTTGTTTTTTTCTTACGAAGTCATACAGTACTTTTTCCACACATATCACTTGGGATCCATGATGGGCTTATTTGGGGATGAATGAACACTTGTGGCAAAAGAGGAATAGGACCCTTGCCCCATATGATGAAGAAGGCCAAGAGATGTGTAATTAATTAGCATGAGGATTCCAGAGGGAGAAATTAAAGTTTCACTGATACCATACCATATAATGACAAATTATATTCTCTCCTTGAGTTTTCCATAAAGCAAATATGGAAAGCACCGAAAGTTTTTATGGAAGGTGACTTCCATTTTTGCTTTTCCCATCTTTTTCTGACACTGGGTTAATCTGGAAATCAGATTTACACAAATGTTGAATATTCACACCTTAATTGAAACACACTTTAACCAGCTCATCTGGAAGTTGAGGAGGAAGGCAACTTCCCCCCAAAACAATCACATCTTTTGGAATCAAAAATAAGATACCCCAAAATCAGCAGATAGATGGAATAAAATTTGTGTTTCTCTGTGCTTCAGTTGTCTCTGAATAGAAATAACAGCTCTGTTATAATAATTTCTCAAAATTCACAGTGGTTTTGAGAACATGGAAAAGCACTGAAGATGTCCATAAGAAAATTAATTATTTTTAATAGGTTTGGATGGTGCAAATTAAAGAAAAAGAATGCTCACTCTCTGAATACTGCAAAGTTTTGTTTCCAGAACACTGATAAACCATTTTTATGCCTTTGCAGATCATACACTGTTATTTATGTTTGCAATAAAAATGATGCACATCTGCATGCTAACCAGGTCTGTCATTTCAATTCCTGCTCAGTGCCTGTTCAGTGAACCAAACTACAAGTACTCCTATTTTCCCACACAGTTTGGACCAAACATGTGATAAACCTTCCACATCTCTATCTCTGATCCCATCCCTTTCAACAGCAAAGGGCTTCCAAAAATATTAAGGGCAAAGAGAGAATATTTGGCTATGGGCTCTGACCTGGAAGGGTGTGCTGACCCCAGGTCCCTTGCTGTGAACATTACTCCAGATCTGAAGCAGTAAAAAACGAATAAACAAACCCCATTTGTGCCTACCTCAGCCAGAGCAGAAGAAAAGTGATTACAGTTCTTGTGCATCAAGTGGTATGCATTTCCTTTGTATTCCTTGCCCAGCTCTTCCATAATCTTATCCACATCCTCTTCTGTGAAGTCCGTAGTGCCCAAGGCAATGGATTCTCTAGTTAAAATCAAAACATAGAACAGGAAGAACAGAAAGATACTGTGAAAAGTGCAATACATACCAAGGGAGAAGGAAATTATCAGCTATTGGCAAGAAGGACAGGCCTAAAATGTTATTCACGTGCATATCTGAGGCTGTCAGAGACTGACTGACAGAATGGCACAGTAATATCCACAGCTTTTCCACAAAGCAAGTTATCACACAGACAACAGTCCTGAGATGATCTTGCTCACCACCAAGGAACTCTCAGCTCTGGGGGTCTGCTCCTACTCTGCCCATCATCCCAGAAGAGAAATTTCTATTACAAGAGAGAAGTTGTTTTTTCCACAATTGAGAGGGTCCCCTGGGCCAGGAAGGAGCAGACTGACAACTTTATGCAGAAACCTATTGCTTCTTCCAATATTCACTCAGTAGCACTTGCTGTAAAATGGCCCTCAACATAAACTGGTGGTCTGGCAAGGTCAAGCCCCCCTGCCATGGACATTTCCTTGACCTACAGTCCCACAGTCTGAGCATTTCAAACAACACAAGAATGCAGCATCCTCTCAGACTCCTCTAACAGCCAGTCTGTCCCTTGTAACAGAGCAGCACAAAACACACACAATAACTTCAGATACTCTGTGCAGTATCCACAGAGAGTACTCATAAAAGGAGAAGTCTTATTTTTCCCCCTGTGCATTTGCTCTGTGTAGCAGGCAAAACTGGGAGAATAGAAGATGAATAAAATAGGAAAACAGAACTGCACTCATTCATAAGTGTGCTTTTAACCCCTGACAAACACAGTGCAATCACTGTTCCCTCTTTGCTGTACGCACTCTTTTATCCACCTCCAAAATCCCTGCAGGGTTGCCTTTGAATCAGGATCATGGAAAGGATGGCAGTGAGGGCACTTATGAAGAGAGTGAAAGGAGCACCCAGAGGACAGGATTTCCCTGCTCCCCCTACACCAATGGCTACCAGGGGCAGAAGGGAAGATGTAGAAAAGGGCCCTTACTTGAATTTAAAGGTCTCGCCAAGTTCTACCGCACTGCCAGGTGTGATCTCGAAAATCCCACTGAAAGGGTAGGGATGCCCTCCATAGGCAAACTCTGACAAGAAAAGAAACAGACTGTGAGTAATTGAATGAACGCCATGTCAGGAAAAAGTCTATGGCAGCTGTCTGCATGGCTCAACATCAGCACCAGGGGCTGGGCTCTTGCCAAAATCTGTTTCAGCCAGACTCTGAAAGCTGTTTTTGCTGCCTGGTTACCTTTTGGACTGAGGATGCCCTCACAGCCTCCCTCCATGCTAGCACTACTCCTTTCCCACAGCACCAGGAAAACTCCTGAGTCTGTCTCTGTCCTCATCCAGGTGGCTTTCTCTCAGTGGAAAGTCCTGCATTGAAGGCATCTGGCTAAACTGTGAGAGGCTTCCAGAGGTGCTACAGAGCTGGAAGAAGCCGTTTCTAGAGCAGGGAGAAAACAAATCTTCCAGAGGGATTTACAGGCAGTGAGTAGGAAGTCTTTGCAGAAAGGCTGATTGTACTCTGCTGCCTCAGCACACAGGTCGGGCCAGGTAGTCTATCCATGTCATACAGGCCACCTTGCAGGGCCTGTGAAACACAACCTGTGATCCTCGTGGTGTCACACAGGCCATCTCACAGGGCCTGTGAAAGCCTCTGTGCTCAAAATGGAAATAGCACCAACAGGGGTTCTGGCTACTGCATGGCACTGCATGAAAATACCATGAGTGAGTAGCCAAGTAATTCCCATTTAATGCTGATAAAGGAAACAAGGTCTGTGATGCTAGTTCATCCTTCCCCACACTGCAGATGTTTTCCAGATCCCTTGACTTTTTAAATGGGTGGCTCTAATCAGCTTCTACCCCATCCAGACAATTTCAAAACATTTTCCTTTCTTTGTAACTCTACTGTTTAAAATCAACAGTTTCTAGTATCTGGAAATCCAGATTCCAAGATTTCTAGACCATATTCTAGACCACATTCATAAAGAATTAATGGACAAAAGATTTTTCCTGATGGGGAATTAGCACAAACACATCTGCAGGCCTTAAGACAACCCCTGATCCACCTCTCTTCCCCCTCCCTGATTTCTCCCATTCTCTATCTCCCTCCTTCACTACAGAATGGCTCCTCCCATCTGCCATCCTGCTACACACCTGCACAAGCTATACAGGCTGCAGTTACAGGCTGAACAAGAAGGACTACATGGGTCATAATAGAACTGCACGAGTTGCTCCTAGGCTCCACAATTCTCAGAAAAGAGAATTGGCTGGGGTTTTCAGTTTTTATCCCTCAAAACATTCCTTGCCAAAAGCTGTAAGTTTGGGGTGCTTTTCCATATCAGACTGGCCATACAGTTGTCCCCATGTTCTACAGGCAGTAAAAGGGAAATACTTCATACCTCTGCCGTAGATCTCGATGCCAGAGTGGAAGACACCAATCCCCAAGGTGGAGGTGTATTCATTTATCCAGTACTACAGTAAGAGAAAAGCCACATTGGGAAGCATTAGTGGAAAAGAAACACATGATTTTAGTCTAGGGTATATCCCACTCACATCTCCCCAGCTCCTCTTGAAGAGAAGAGAGATTTTGAAATTATCTTGAGACAAACAAATTGAGGCTCTTACAGACAACAGAAGTGGGCACTGTGTTTATTCAGCTGGACTGGATTAGCTCTCGAAAAAATGCTCATCTAACCTTTTCCACCGAAGATACTAACCTGTATTAAGATACAACTGGACCTGAACCTGCATAAACCCAGCTGCTACAGGATGTGTGATTATTTATCTATCTTCTCACCTAATACCTGACACTGAGTCACTTTTATGAATTCACTTGCCTTATTTAACCTTCAAAATCTTCAATAAGTGAATCCCCAGTTATTTTCCACACACCCCATAACATCACCTCCCAGCACCCTTTATTATTGCTTTTGTTTTAGGCAAAGAGATCATAGAGTTGGAGGTTTGTTGCCCCAGTAGGTCAGAGAAGCTTTGAAGAGGAGCTGCTAAGTGACTCCTTTGTCTGAAGCCCAGAGTGCCCCGTTACATTTAGAGCAGAGAAGCACTGCAGTCCAGTGCATGTGTGTGATGCTCCTCTGCCAAGCACTGCGCAGGGCCTGTTTCCACCACACCGTGAAGGACAGTGCAGACACCCAAACAAGTTCCAGCTAAGCTAATTCCAGAGCAAGAAGCTGTACAGCCATGCCAGGGCAATGCTGCATTGGAGATAATTAGCCCTGTTCAGCATCAGTGTTTATTAGGTCAGCTGCAGAGCTGCACTGCTACAGAAATGATGTTTTCAGGCACTGAGGAAAGTGCCCATGCCTGGTATATTTGCAGTTCACTTACAGTTGCTGTGCAATGAAGATACATATTCTAGTAATTAAATTCTGGTTTTAATCTACCACTGTGAGGAAAATGAGTGCTGCTCACTTGTTCCTGTACAAGGACATGACAGGTTCATTAAACTAAAATTCTCTTCTGGATCTGGTAGCAGCTTCTTGTGGAACTAGAATAAGCTGCACCTTCCCTATGTCTGGTGTCACTGAGCTGCCCCTTCCATTCCTTTTAGCAGACCTTAACCTAGGCTTACTCTTCCTATCAGCCATATCGAGCTTAGCAGTATACTCCATCCTGTGGTCAGGCTGAGCTTCTAATTCAGAATAAGCCCTGACTGGGGCACTGAAGTGGAGTCTGATTTGCATCTAGGTTCAATTGATACAATACTGATGTGACCTACTATCAAGACCAAAGTGCAAGACAGCTCTGAATCACGGCTGTACTGTCCTCATCTCACCCCTGTCTCCAGGGTGCTGTAGAATCTGCCTCCAGTGTGTGCCTGAACTCACAGTGAACGCCTCACAGCACTTTGGCACAGCCCCCGGCTTGTCTTGGGAGGAAGCTATGCTAAAATGAACACGTCAGTCACTTGCTGAGCTGGAAAAGAGAATTCAAGCCAGATTGAAACCAGGTTTGTGCACACATGCACAAACTGGCCTTGTTTTCCAAGGGGTTTACAATTCTGAGCATAAGAACAGCAGCAACAGTCAGCAAATGCTCATCTCTGGAGTAAATTGGTTATTGCTTAGATTGAAAAGAAGAATCGGCAGCCTGTTCAGTCAGATGAAGAGCCAGGGAACTGAATACAGCAGTATCTTAAAGGGAGTTGTGATTCATGCTTGCATTGCACACTGCCTGGAAAATTGTGCCCTAAACCATACACAGGAGGGACTTGGAGCATTCTGTCTCATTTCCATCTTCAACAGGGAACAGCTCAGATGATGAGAGGCAGGGAGGAAGGCTAACCAGGCTATAATCACTTCATAATAGCAGCAGAGAGCCCAAAACTCAAAATTCAAACCCAGAGAGGAACCACTGTGTTTAGTTTGTAGTGTATCAATTAATAGCTTTTAATGAAGGTCTCTGATGAAGTAGAATTTCAAAATTTTCAGGTTTTGTTCAGGTTTCCCCTGATCTTACGTTGGTTTGGTTCAGAGGTCAGTAATAACCAGTGAGATAGTTTAGATTCTGAGGGATATTCTGACTCTGTTCTTGCATTATTCCTTTAATTTATCATCTCACAGAGGTAGAAGTAAAAGTCTTACCAGAACAGTGAACCATGCCCTAACTTTCCAGAAAACAAAGAAACTAAAAAACTACATTACATTGACATGCATCTTCAAGGTCTAGAATGGAGAATCATGATACTGGCAGATTATATCATCCTGGGGGTTTTCACAGCAGGAGCTCCTAGGAACTCATGCCAGACACATGACTGTCCAGATAGAAGTCCATGTAACACCAACCTTCCACCATCGACTAATACTGTACTATAACATTGAAGTTTCTGTCACTAACTCTGTCTTCCCTACTTCAGACCTACTTCATCGTTGTCCATGGTGTGTCACCAAAATCTTTCCTGCATCAGTGTGCTCAGCAGTTTAACTAAACAGCTCCCCAGATGCTGGAGACAAGACCTCTTCCATGAGTATCACAGATATTCTGAGCACTTGATGCTTTCTCTGAGCAGCCAACCCACTAAGCAGTATTCCATTTATCACCACAATACTGACCAGGTATTCTACTCCACCAGATCCATCCACTACTGAACAGCTGCTAAGCCTTCCATTGTTATGAACATACAGGAAAGAAATCCACCAGTTGTTAATTAGATCTGATTTCAATAAATAGCTGTAAACTCAGAGGACCTAGTGTCATAGGTCCTTGCAGAGACCTCTACTCTTCACCAGGTGTCACACACAAGCAATGTCTGAGCCAGCATACCAGGCTAGAGAGAGCTTGCCTCTGACCTCTTTTGGTGCTCTGATGTCCAGGTATGACCACACACTACTGTGACTGAGACACCTTTACCAAGGATGGGTGCAGCTGATGAAACAGTAACTGACTTGTTTCCTATCTCTTCTCAAAGCACCATTTGCATGTAATTCAGAAGGATTATTCCTTTTCCCTGTGAGTTCACTGGCAGAGCTTTGCTTCTAGGAGAAAGAAAAAAAATGGTAAATAATTATATTTAGACATTTCTAGGGAGCAAGGAGCATGTTGAGGGACTCATGTCAGCACATGTCCCAAAAAAGACTGTGAGCCCTACCACTTGAGCTTGATTTTAATCCTTTCCTTCTTGAGGGCCAAGTCACACACTGTACTTGGCCCTTTACAGGGATATCTCCTCTTTATAGGATGGGGAATCTGGCTTGCTGAAGAGACCCTTGGATCAACAAATCCAAGTGGAGAACACCCAGGGCAGTGCTTGCCCCTGCAGTCAAGTTACCTAAGCAGCCTCATGAAGACATGCAAAGGACTGTGTGCACTAACAAATACACTGCTCAGCTCTGTCTCAAACACCAAGAGAATACTCTGCAATGTTAAATCTCAGCACAAAAGGCAGTCTTTTAAAGGCAACGTCAGACTGATGCAGGAGACCAGCTAGGGAACATCAAAGTAATACCTCAGCATTATGACCTGAGATGCATTGATCCAGAAATTTGAGAGCACAAAAGATAAAACTGGAGGGGAAAGCTAAAGAACAGCATTTCAGGAAACGAGCCAGTAAAATCCCAGCTGTTTATAGCATACAGCCAGCAGCTTCAGAAGAGTTGTTTCCTCAATACATTGCTCTAAATCAAGATCCAGAATCTTGGTCCCACAGGGGTGGAAGGAAAGGGTTCATAAAAGATCACAGATTATTCCCCAAGTAATGCTTGCAGGGATGAAGGAGGCTTTACTTAAACTACAGACATGCAGAACAGAGGGTTTCCTGCAGATCCAGGGCTCTTCAGTCATATTGCAGCAGTGCTCACTTCTGTTCCACGGCCCCAGGCAGGCACACAGTCCTGCAACATGTCCCAGTCCTTCTGTTCACCCCTTCTGCCCCGGAGCTCTAGTGGTGAAAACTCACTATCACGTGGGATGACATCAAATTTTACAGCATAGCTACTATTAGCAAGTTTTCTTTTGCAATTGGGTGAGACTCAAGCTCATTTCAGTGTGACCTGTGTCTCTTACACTCCATTCTCCAGGAGTCCAAGGCTTGTGTATTCACCAAAATGCTATTTTCCTAATACTACAGTGACTACAGATTAAGTGAGAAAGGGTTTAAATACATGTGGGCAGAACAGCAACTAAATAAACATAACAGAGTATTGAGGAGTGATGACACAGACCTGTCTTTGCTACTTCACACCTGGGAAAAGCTACCTGTGTGTGTAGCTTTTCCAGCACACACAGAACGTGGCTCTTCCAGCTGGGGGATCATCTCCTATGTCATGTCCTCTTCACTGTTGGCAAAAGCTATCAATCTGCAAGTCAAGGACATGGGTGTGAAAGCCCATCAGGTCACTCCAAATCCAATCAGCCAAAAGTACCTGCTTTAGTCAGGTATGTCAACTTTCAGCTACAATTCCAGACAGTGTTAAAGGAGCAAAATGCTGCAGTGAGGAGGTCTGTCTTTACAAACAGGTGCAGCCTCCAGTTGCAGTACGCAATAACTTTCAAATATCAAGAAAAACAATTCTCAGGGTGTAGTCACTGGCCTGCTTGCAAAGAACCCAATTGCCAGAACTGATTAAAGCTCAGGAACTACTGTTTTTTTCCAGGAGAGCATTCTCAAATACTGAGAACTCTGCAGGTTCAGTGCAGCAAGAGAGCTTGATGTAGCTCTGATGAGGCAGGGATACACAAGGACCCCACTCAAGAACCCCACTTCATACTTGGATTGGCTGAAGAGCAGACATCTGAGGAGCAGAGTCAGAGAGAAGAAAAAGACAAGGCATCCTTTGGCGTGCAACTGCCTCTGCTCTGCTGCATTTTGAATGAAAGAAGATTCTGCTAAAGACACTTCCCTACTCTTCAGGTTAATACACTCTAATAGAACAGAAATTTCCTGGGAAACAACAGCCTGATGCTTAAAACTGATACTGCTAAATGTATTCCCTCATGCAAACCCACAGATACTA